AGTTGGCTGGAAAGCAAGAAGTGGGAAGAGAGTTCCACAGGTGAGAAAAGGAACTGTTAGCAAAGAACTTACAGCTACATCTAGCCAATACAACTGTAAATTGATTAGACATTGTTGCCAATCTAGTATTGCGCTTAAATTCATAAAGTTTAGGTACCATAGAGTAAAGTTCATCAAAACAATTACCATGAAAGTATTTATAGAAAAGGCACAGTTGTTGGTGGGATGATGACTGGAGCCGAGATACCAGGTCAAGACCAATAATGATTTTTTTTTTTTTTTGATTTTATCAAGTATCGCTAAATATATAGCAGGAGCACTAGACCATATGTTTCAGCAATATTCAAAGCAAAAACAAATGGTAGATTTGTATAGAAAAGGTAAATTAAATATTTAGTTAAATTTGATTGGTAGTTTTTAGTTTTTGATTAAGAAAATTTATTTGACTAGAATGAAGAAATAGATTAAGGCAGATGTCTTGTACTGTTTGAAGTTAGATGCCTTCTCAAATTCTGGCAGGTTAAATCAAGACATGAACCTACAGAGGCAATAAAATTGCTTATGTTAATATAACTGAACTAATATAGTTGATTCTTACAGGTTTGTAAAAATTGCAGATAAAATATTTACAATGATCTATGTACCTTCAATAGTGAATCTGTTAGAACATTACTCAAGAAAAGTGAGCCTGACCAAGAATGAATAAAAAATAAAAAATAATATAATAAAAAATAAAAAAATAATCAACTCAGGTCAGATTTTGGGAAATAGGTTGGGCCAAGAATTTTCCAGCATTCTCTTCGTTGATGCAAATATTTATTGAGGTTTCTTGAAGAATTGTTATAGTTGAATAAAAATATACATTTGACATCATTTATTCTTCCAGTTTAATTTGCAGGAAAAGTATTAAAGAAATAAGGTAAATGATACAGTAGCACCTGTTGGAAATCATTTGTAGTTTAAAAAATATTTTGAGTTCAAGGACAAAGAATATTCTGGAAGATATCAGAAATTAACAGATGAAATTGAGCAACATTTTGAAGGCATGAAGAAAAACTGTAGATTAGTCAAATCATTTGAATGGAAGACATTTTACTTGGCAAGGAAGTGAACCAGTTTTTTTTGCAGTGTGGCAAAGTGGGTCTTGTGTTGCATCCTTGTGCATCAACTGTTTGAAATGTGGCATAAATTGATCGAAAGCAAAGAAAAATACTTTTGATGAGTGAATAATGATGCTATGACTAAAATATTTTAGTAACAAATGTTAAAAAAATTCAGCTTCAATCTTATTTAAAGCAATCCATAATTTAATTTAAAAATGGTGTAATGTCAGAAAACAAGGAAGAATACTTTGATTACTGAATAATGATGCTATGAATTTACTTGAATGAAAGATTTTAAAAAATCTTCAAGAGATTCATTCATCAAGGAATTAAAAATGGAGATTGCACTTTAGAAGAGCTTAAAAGCAAAATGTTCATTTTAAAATACATCGTTTTATTGGTCCTGTCAAAGCTGAAAAAGGGGGTCACCAACCCCCATTCATGATTCCACTGCTTTAGGAAATGATTTTTCGAAGTTCTCATTGAACAACTCATTTCTCTAACAAGCATCATAGCAAACCAGCTGCCAGGATATGTGCTGACAAACTACAGGAGAAAGTGGATTCAGAAGTTCAGTGCAAAATGAACACAAGCAGCATCAGCTTAGATTTGATCTTGGTTCACTGATTTTATTTTCTAAGCTGGTAACCATTACACACCCTTCACTGATGCACAAAAAATGAACACATATATACATACATTTATGCATGTATATATGAGTCTTTGTTGTGTGCATGAACCAAATGAAGTAGTCATTCTGCAATGACCCCTAATGAGCTAGTGTGAAAAATTCAGGCAAAGGACTACATTGAAAGAAATGGTGGAAACTAGTTCTGATGGTAAGTTGTTTTTATAGTCGAATTCTCCAAAATGATGAGATTTTTGCCAATCAGAATTCAAGAAATAAATTGTTTTTTCTTAAAACCTTTTTTAAATACTAAAATTTCAATACAAGGCTCTAAAGCCACTCAAGGTAGAGAGTTGCTATTAAAATGTTAGATGATAAATAAGATATGGGATATAGATGCAAGAAGAGTAGGTAAAAAGTGAGGATAAAGAGGATAAATAAGAAATGACCCTTGACTTGAAGAGGTTAAGATGGTAGTGATCTGGGAAGCATTCACATGAAATTTGGTTCTGCAAAAAAATTTAACTGAGTGGAATTTTCTCCTTCAATTAGGAATATAAAGGAAATGAGATTGATTCAACTATGAGAATAACACAGTCTTTCTTAACTGTAAAGATCTAGACTCGTAGAACTGAATGGAACTTTTCTGAACATTTGCCATAGAAATAGTGACAGAGTAGTAATTGGCATGTGATGTTGCATCTGTGGGAAAGAGGCTAAAGAACAGAGAGTAAGTGTTCCCTTAAAAGACTGCATAAACACTTTTGAACTCTATCAAAGCTGGAAAATGAGGATTGAGCAGCTCCAGCCCAGATATACTAAATTCAAACTTCACAGATTCTATTTTCCTATGTTGGTTTTAGACACACCTACAATGAGAAAAAATTTTTTTTAAAGCATTTCACCCCACACAAGGCAGGGTGCTTCTGGTTTGCAGAGGTTACATAGAGTGAAGGTAAAAGAAAAAAAACTGTATGTAAGGGAATGAGGAAAGAATAAAAGATGAACAGGGTTCAAGACACCAGAAGATGGCGATTGGCATTGCATTTAAATTTTTGAAGATTGTAGTTATCAGGGAAGCAACTCAATTTAAAATAATAATCATTTCCTTGTTAGTAATACATTCAAGCAGTGGAACTTATTCTGTCTAAAAGAAAATTAAAAAATTAAGAAAAGCAAGGACATACTTATTTTGAAGCAGAGAAATCAATCTGAAGCAAAGATATTGCCAATATAATGACTATGATACCTTATGAGACTTGTTTTCAACCAGTCTAGTAGGTGATTCTATAACAGAGAATTGTCAAACTAATCAATAATGTCTTTTAGTAACAAGTTTAAGAAAGGAAAGAAATTAAGAATCAAGTGTCAGATCAAATCTATTTACTTTAAAAGAGTATGTTTGAAAAAGAAATCACATCTGTACTTCTGACTCACAGTAAATGACAGACTAAAATAATATTGTAAAATTATAAATTAAATGCATAAGAAGTTCGAAATAAATAATTCTTCTAAAAAGCAACAGAATCACAAAAAAACATAAATCATTTCTGTTTGAGGTAGTTCTGCACTGATTAATTAGAGTGCAATAAGATATTAACCCATTAATGTTCACCTTAAAGTCTGTTATTAATTATAGTTTTCTCCTGTAACTCATTAAGGATTCAATAAGCTTTAAAATATTAAGATACAAATGAGCAATATATTACTGCCATTACCTCAGATAAATAATTTTCCATTCCATTTTAATTGCAAGGAAAGACTTATCAGAAACACTGTTTGGTTTCAGTGAGAAAAAGAAATCATATATAAGAAGAAGAAAAAAGAAAGAATAGAAGATAGAAGAAATGATAATGCTCTTATACATTTAATGTTTGCATCAATGAAGTGAAAAACCTTGTCAATTTTGAATTTTTTATCATTTGTACTCTCTTACTTCTTTAATTAATGACTTGCATTCATATATTTTTTAAAATTGGTATCACCCCATGCAAGACAGCAAAACAACTAAGACACAAGGGGTTACAGAGTGTAGAGGAATTAGGAACAGAAACACTAATAATGAGCAAGAAGCAGAAAGAGCAATCAGGAGGACCGTAGATAGCAATTGACATTGCATTTAAATTTTTGCAGAAATCATGGAGCTGGAAAGGAGTTCCACAAGAGAGAAGTGCAAGAAAAGAAACATCTTATTATTGCAGTAAGTTGTTAAATTAAAATATTTAACAATGCAATGGAGGAATTTCCATGGGTATTTTATAGTCATGGAACTTGCAAGGAGCTTAGTCAATCACTAATTTAGGAATTAAATTCATCAAAAAAGTCAAATAAGAAAACTATGAAATTTTTCACAAGTACTGCTAGCCAGCGTTATTGTTTCATTTTTTTAATAAATCCTACTTACGATGTTACTGCTTACATAAATAGCTAGTTAGTAGAAAATATAAATAAACATTAATAACATTAATGAGTGAATGTGGTTAAAATAATAGTGGTGTCAATGTAAAAACTGTCCTTTTGAAACAGATTTTTTTTTCTGGGCACAAAGATTCATGTTTGCCAAAAAACAAGCATGTTACATTTTCTCATTTTCCCCAAGCTCTGAGGGTATCTTGAAAATTTACTTATTTATGAATGTCAAATTTAATTAAATTGTTAATTAAATTATTTCTTACCTCCGGTCAGTTAAAAGGCAAGAAAATGGTCCCTGACAGTAAAATATAATCAAATTTTATGTGAAGTTTGTTTTTAAGTGATTTTGTTTAACAGTGAGTGTCCTCCCACTCTTGAAGATAGGAGATATTATGAATTGCTGGAAGGAAGTTTCTAGTTCACTTAATGAGGGTATGTAATTGGTAAGTAATATTATTTATTAAATCTTGTAGAAGCAAAATGTTCACAAAAATGACATGACAGTTGAAAGCAGTAATGAAATTTTGTACAAGAAAAAATAAAAAGGATAAAATAAAACAATGAGAAGCAGGTAAAAGATGATTATTGTTTTACTGATTCATTTTTTACAGCTTATCAACCTTTTACAGGTTATTTAAAGCCAGAATGTATTTTTAGATTATAAGAATTTTTCTTTTTGAGATAATAATGGCTTAATGATATAAGTCTTACTAATTAACCCATAACTGAGGGGGGAGAAGAGGTGAATTCGTACCTTTCTCAATTGTATTTGAATATAAGTGAATATAACAAACCCAATCCTTGGCTCTACCATTAACAATTCCAAGCTATTATCCATTACACCACCCACATCCAAGCTTACAAAACCTGGTATTCCCAAGTGGTCACCAATCTAGGTACTGACCAGACTCAACATTGCTTAGCTTTGGTAATCATACTGGAATCGGTGTTTCAATATGATATGGCTGTAAGCATAATCTGTGGTGTACCATGATTGCCTATATCATGAAAAAAATAATAATAAAAAAAAAAAGACAAACATGAACATGTTTCAAAAGGACAGTTTTTTCCATTGATACTGGTATTATTTTAACTATGTTCACTCCTTCGGCAATAGTTATTATTTACCATTTTATAAATAACTATGGAAACAAGTTTTTTATTCATACACAGACATCATGTATTTTTTTGAAATTTACAATAAATAAATAATAGTGTTTAATATTTTTGATATACAGGATGCGATGGGTAAATAGTTGCCATTTTATATTTTTAATTTCATGCATGTGTATTGTTTTTGATTTTGTTGACTGCATAGTATATTAGGGTCAGTTGGGCACAGTCTGTGAGAAAAAGAACACCATGACACAAATTTGGAAACAACATGCCGAAAGCTCCAATACGAACATTTCAGTGTTTGGATGTCAACTTTGAGGACAATGCAGAGGATTTGGAAGGAGTTGGATGAGTCTAATGGTGATTACGAATGTACGGTAGCTTGGAAAACCCACTCTGATCATTCTGATGAGAAAAGAACTCCTGAATTTGTTGGTGAGGGCCTCAGACACAACAGAAAGGTCTGTATCAAGTGCTTTGAGGTAGTGCTGCCCTGGGTCAAGAGGGTGGCTGCTGGAAGACTATATCTGGCAATGGGATTCTACACCATATCACACAAGCAAGAGAACCTAGTCATGGCTGTCAGACATTTTCTGTGAGCACATCACCCCTTACATCTGGTCACCTAACTCCCAAGACTGAAACACACTTGACTATTGTGTGGGGTGCAGTTGAATGAGAGATCAACAGAACACCTTGTAACACCAAAGATGGTCTGAAGGCAAGGATTATGGCAGCATTCACCAAATTAACCAAGGAGACTGTCCAGAAAAGTTGCAGGAGATTCCTAAGTCATCTAGAGGCCATGGTAGAAGCCAATGGCGATTTTATTGAATAAATTTACTCTTTAATATTTCAGGATATTTTTGTGTAATTTTGGTAAAATATATCTGTTAAAATGAGATGTCGGTGTTATTTACATTTTTGTGTAATTTAGATGACAATTTATTCATCACACCCTGTAAATTCTCAAAGAACAAAAATATGTATAAATTCAATTTCATATATTTGGGTATTATTAAAATTCTAATCATTGCTTTTTAAAACAACAGATATTATTGAGGGAGTGAAGATTAATAAAATTGACAATTAGTTGACGTTTTAAACCAGGGATTCTTAACCTTGCTTGCCCCCCCCCCCATGCACCCCTTTCACCATTTGTCAGAATGCCATTCTCCCCCACCTTTTCAAGGTGACAGGCCAGATGGGCCAAATTTGCTCTCCTCCCCATTTAAACTTACTGTGGTCACAATTCACACCTGAAAATCCAAAATTTACCCCCTGGGGGTGAATTTCACCCCTATTGAGAACCCATTTTAAACATTATTGCATTGTAGATGGTTTACATATTTTGATAATCTTGTAATGTGTTATTTTAATTTTTAATAAAAAAAGATCTCTTTTCACATTTATTTCTTTATAAAAGGATAAATAATAAATCTTTTTTTATAATCTTGTAAATAAACATTGCCAAGGGAGGTAATGTAATTAAAATAATAGCAGTGTCAATAGAAAAACCATCCTCTTGAAACACTTTTTTATGGGCACAAAAATCCAGTTTTGTCAAAAAAACAATTATCAATGTCACTAATCAAGTAAATATAAATTCTTAATATAACTTCAAAAATAAATATTCAAAAATTATAAAATCATCACCTCTCTAAATACAACCAAGTTCTACCAAGCTAAAATATTCTAGCTAAATCTAAATATCTATTATTACATTTTGTAGGTATACTATAAGCACTGATGATAGTAAATAAATGCCTGATATTTTGACAGGCAGCATTTGTAAAGATATATTCAACTCTAAAATGGGAGTTAATACCCCTGCAGCTCCTTTATCTTTAACATCAATTTGAATATTTAACATCCTAAAGGAATGTTGTTTGCTGAATATAAGGTGAAATTTGCATACTTCTGAACATAAAACAGATTTTGGAGTCATGTGAAAAAAAAAAAGTGGTGGGTAGTGGCAGATGATTCTAAAAGTTGTTCAAACAACTGAAATCATTCTTTGTTTATGTTGTTTCCACAATAAAAGTAAGAAAATCAAAAGAAATAACAAGCATCAACTTGTCAGTGTGAAACCGATGTCAGACCAATATGGAGTTCAGTGCAGTGTGGTTTTTGTTGTTCAACATTGTTTTGCAAAGAAAGTATCAGATAAAATTTCCAAGTATAAATTATGGAATAACCTTTAGTGTTTATGCTGCTGAAAATGGAATAAACTATATTTCAAGCTATACTATGAATAGTTTCTATCTTTGCTACCATTTTCTGAAAATGAGACTCTTTGTTTGTACATCTGGAATAATGGCATAAAAACAACATAAATGATACAAAATAACTTCAGTTGTCTGGACAACTCTTAGAATGACACTGACTTTTCTCAAAATTAAAGATAAGAAAGAAAATGCACTTTTTCTTTTCTTTCTTTAAAATTTCTTTTCTAGCATTTCTTTCTCTTTTCTTGCATTTCTCTCAATCTTTTGGCATTTCTGTCTCTCTCACTCCCTTTTTATTTCTCACTTTTCTAACATTTTCTCTCTCTTACTTTTCTTTGTTTTACTCCAAGAAAGGCAGTAGGGCCACTAAGACAAGTGGTTACAGGGTGTGAAAGTATTAGAAAATAGAAACATTACTAAGGAGCGAGAACAAAAGAAGAGTAATCAGGAGGACTGTAGATGGCAAATGACATTGCACTTAAATTTTTGACTATTAAAATTGACATGAAAGCATGTAGCTGGAAGAGAGTTCCACAAGTGAGAAACGAAACTGTTACATCTAGCCAACTCAACAGTAAATTGTCAAGACCTCATCACTAGTCTAGTACTGTGCTTAAATTCATAAAGTCTAGGTACCATAGCAAAAAGCTCACCTAACAATTACGATGAAATATTTATAGAAAAGGCAAAGGGAAGCAATTTTATGGCTGTGGGAAAGTGACTGAAGCCGAGTTGCCAGATCAGAGCCAATAATATTGCTGATTCTTCTTTGGATTTTATCAATGATCTCTAGATATACAGCAGGAGTACCAGACTTTCAGTTTTTAAATAAACAATCAAATGGTGTTTACTTTTTAGACAGTAGGGGAAAATTAAAAAATAGCTATATGGTGAGACTTAAATGACTGCTGCTGGAGATTTCCACAACTTAATCAGTAAGACAGTTGTCACTTAAAACAACCTTTCAAAAGAAAAGGGGATGCAAGTTCAAATCTTGTTAGAGGTTTATTCTTTACTTCCAATCTGTGTTGCTTACTAACAAATATAGAATGATAGTCTTGAAAGTTGCTATAAAAAGCAACTGAAATTAAAATCAAAGAAATACTCATCAAAAAATAAACTATAAAAATGTTAGAAGTTTAATTTTTCTTTTTTAATCAGGTAGAATTAAAAGAAATAGAAAGTGTAATAAGGCGATTTTAAATTTAGAAGAGAATATAATTTTGAAGATGGAAGTTGAAGCCAGTGACAGCCTTTGGGTTGCTGGTACCCAAGGCAAGAACTCTTACAAGTATAATTTTTTTTAAAATTTTCACAAGGAGAAAAACTGAAAATTGATGTAATGGAATAAGTTGTTACCCCCATGAGTGACCACACTGTAGGTAGTAACTAACTATAAATATCCATAAGGCAATGAACTACAGGAGTTTAGCTGGGATCTGTTGAGTACAACTCAGACTTAAGCAAGAACTACCGACCTTCCAATAGTAGCACCCACTGCTGGATTGACTTGTGACGATCATGCGCATAACTATTACCTTATTTCTTATTGTACTGGTTTTTACAATAAACCTTTACTTATTTTATCTACAGTGTTATTCAAGTATATATTCCTATTAGCACGGAATATAACAAAATATAGAATAAAGAGTTTATTATAATATACAGCTTAATACATGCTAAAAAAACATTCATTATCTTACCTAAAACATTTTTTGTAGCCTTCAGATCTGCAAATCTTTTCATGGCACTTTCTACACCTATCTTCTTTAGATCATTTTCTATTGATAAAATAGCCAAAGAATTTAATCTGTCATGAGTCATGGATGACTGCAAGTATATTTTTATAAGCTTTAGTTTTGGAAGGTCCCTAACACATGACATGGCAGCATTATGGTGCCATTGACTGATGGTGTTCCAGGCAACTACCTGAGTTGCTAGTACCTTGAGCTGGCTCTGGTTGAAGCACAATCAAGCAGCTCATCTTTTAAAGTACAGAATTTGAACCCAGGTGAAGTACAAGTATTTTGACCCCTCCCCCCATTTTTTTTAGTTCAAAATGAATAACAGGCAAAAAAGCACTTTGTTGGAGAACAATAATGGAAAAAAGTTAAACTTGCAGAATATGAGTAAATATAATCCACATGTGGTCTATATGGTGCAAAGTTTAGTCATAAAGATGTTTTGCTACTGAGCAGTCATTATCAAGGTAGTCTTACAGATAATAATTACTGTAGTGGGTTTGAACTGTATTGGATGCCCAACTAGGATCCCACTGTGCCAGTCTAGACTAAGTTTAGTATATACACTTGAGTTTCAAATAAAAAGAGTAGAAGGAATAAAAGGTGTGGCTGGAGGGTTTTTTTTTTTATTATTATTTATTTAATAATAGTTTGGAATAAGGATGAACCAGGCAATTTTTCTCTGAAAAAGAAAAATCATCCCAGCCTGTCTAAATGAAACTCAAAAGGCATTTATATTATCTAGTTCACACTCATCCCTGGTCTTTTGAACAGGAGTATAGGCTTATCCCTTGTTTTCTGCTTAGGATTGAATTTCCGGTTCCTTCTAAAGTCTTTTCATTTTCTTTCACTCCCAGCAGCTAGTGGCATTATTACCGTGTATA